GAGGAACCCTGGAAAGCATGGCCCCCAGATTCTCTATCAGCCCAGAACTAAAACAATTTCCTAAGCCAACACTTTGGACAAAGATTGGACTGGACTGTGGGTCATAAAATGACACTTGTGAAGCGTGTGCTCCTTAGCTCAAGTAGTCACATGAGACTAAATGGGCAGCTCCTGTCGGGAGGTGAGATGAGCAGGCAGAGAGGGTCAGGAGCTGGTTGAATGGACGTGGGAAATCAGGGGTGGAAAGAGGAGTGTGCTGTCACAGTATAGGGACAGCAACTAGGGTCACATAACAATGTATGTATAAATTTTTGTATAAGAGACTAACTTGAAATGTAAACTTTCACTTAAACTACAACAATAAACCAAATGTACCAAAATAAGGGCAAATATTTTTTAATTGTTTTAATTAAATGAAGTTTACATTTCAAGTTAGTCTTCCATACAGAATTTTTTTTTTTTTAACATACATTGTTATGCGACCCCAACCGCTCACCCCATTCTGCGACAGCACACTCCTCCCCTCCGCCCCTGATTCTCCATGACCATTCAGCCAGCTCCTAACTCTCTCTGCCTTCCCATCTCACCTCTGGACAGAAGCCACCCCTTTGGTCTCCTGTATCTACTTGTCTAAGAGACACATTCTTCACAAGGATCACTTTATGTCCCACAGTCCAGTCCAACAAGGGCAAATATCTTTATAATCTTGGGTTGGAGAAGGAAAAGACTTATAGATGTGACTACAAAAAAAATTTATAAAGTAAAAATTAAGAAGTTTAAGACAAATTGATGAAAAGTACCTGCATTGTAAATATATGACAGTAAAAATTAATAAAGATTAATGTCTTTAAACTACAAACAATACTCTTACAAATAAAGTAAAAAACGAACACCCAAATTCAAACACAGGTGAGGAAAAGACGAATTGTAACTCCCGCAGAAAAACGGGCCAAGTCCAGGCAGTTCACAAAAGAAATACAAATGCCCAACAGACGTGTGAAAAATATTTAACGTACTTTATAATCAAAGAAATGTAAATTAAAACAAAGTGATATCATTTCATACCTATCAGAATGGAAAACATTAAAACAACCGATAATGCCCAGTTCTGGTAAAGTATGGGGAAAACAGTCACTTTCAGACGTTGCTGCTGGAAATGCAAACTGGTATTAACTCTTAGGAAGGGTAGTTTTGCAAACAAAGAAACACACACACCCTCTTGAAACCATGTTGGACTCGGCAATGCTACGTCTGGGCATTTCTTCTAAGGAAACAATCACGCAAGTGTTCGAAGAACGATATAAAAGGATATTTATGGCAGGTGGTCTGTGAAAATTTTTAGCAACCTAAACGTTAAACATGAGTAAAATACTATGTAGTCACTTAAAATTACAACATAGATCTTAAATTTAGCAATGTGAAACGATCATCACAGTATCGTGATAAGTGGGACAGGTCATAAAACAGTGCTAAGGAAAGATAATGAAGGCAGGGATACGGCTGCTGCTTTCCCATCTTCTCCCCCAGACAGGCTGAATGCCACACAACAGAAACCACGGTGCCTATGTATCTTCACACACGATTAACCGTCCTGATTTCTATAAAGAGGTATCAGCTACTGGCAAAAATCATCAGAATCCTACTAGTAATTTTATTATGAAGAATTACAAACTGAGGAAAACCCTATACATTGGTGGGTGACAATCAGAGCTGGAGGTAGCCACAATAATGTATCATCATTTCCCAGCATCATTAAACCCATGTTCGTTTTCAGAAATGAAGAAATCTAGGTATAAAAAAGCAAAGGGATTTACCTAACGGGATATAGCTAATGAGCAAGAAGATGAGGTAGAAAGAAATCCAAGTATGGACGACGTGGATTTAGGTCTCGGCCCTGTCACCTGTGATTTCAGACAAGGTACAAAGCTTCTGTAAACCCGACTTTACTTCTCTATCAAGCAGGATGACAATTCCTATTTTGCTTGCAGATGTGCTGTAGGGTTCAAATGAGGTAATTCATATAAGAACTTTGCATTCAAAAACACTATAAGGTACTGTCATTATTAAAAGGTGCTTTCTCATTTGCTATCTAGTGTCCTGTTAAATAGAATGAATATACTGTATTACTCTCAAACCTAAGGATAAAGTCACTAACTCACATACTAGTGGGATTGAATTTCTCAGGAACAAAAAAATGAAGACCTCACAATAAAAAGAACACTTATTCACACAACAGGAAAGGATGTGAAAGCAAAATCACACCTGTGTTGGCAATGGGTGTCTTTCGGGGAATGAAATCATGGTTATGTTACAAGTTCTTTTCTCTCTGGATTTGTTCTTACCAGCTATTTTTGTAAAAAGAACAGACACTACAAAGAAAACACTAATTAGCTATATGCCATTAGGTAATCTGCTTTTTTATACCTTGATTTCTTCATTTTTAAAAATGAACATTGATTCAGTGGTGCTGGGAAATGAGGGTATATCATTCCATCCACCTCTGATTCTGATGCTTCTGGATGTCACCCACCGATATACAGAGTTTTCCTAAGTTTGTAATTCTTCATAATAAAATTACCAGTAGGATTCTGATGATTTGCTAGTAATTGATTCCTTTTTATAGTCATTAAAAACCAAAAAAATCAGTTGTTGTCAAGTTGTTTCCAACTCATAGCGACCCTATAGGACAGAGGGGAACTACCCCATAGGGTTTCCAAGGAGCGTCTGGTGGATTCGAACTGCTGACCTTTGGGTTAGCAGCTGTAGCTCTGTACCACCAGGGCTCCTATGGCCATTAGTACAGTTAATATATCTAAAAAACGTGCAAATACAAACATACCTTTGATTTAGGAAATAATATTGGAGTTATTACTCCCTGTCCTTGAGCATAGAGAATGAGACCCAGCTGGAGCTGGGCTCACAAGGACTCACAAGGACACATTAACTGGGCCCTGAGGTGTAAAGACAATAGCTAAGGTAATCTTGGAAAATATCTTTTAGGGAAACTTTCACATAAAGCCAATCAAACACAACATAAAAGACTTTCTACTCTTTTTCTATTAGCATTTAGTGAATAGAAATTTGCTGGACCAATGAAGACCCTCCTGACTGTCTTTACTGAAACCTGTACCAATGATTGCTAAGAAAGATGATTCAAAACATAGGATCACAGTTTCTAGCCAATCTGAAAAGGCTAAGTTTTCAATGGTTTTGCCCATTTGTAATGTTAATCTATACTGATGGCTCTGTAACTGGTCTTCGGACTCCAGCAGACATGGCTCTGGCAGTATGGTTGTCCATTTTCCCATTCTTGCCTATTCTGTAATACTCCTTGGACTCGGGCAGACATGGCTGTAGAAGCATGCTTGTCTGTTTTCCCACTTTTGTCTGTTCTGTGATATTTCCTTGGACTTGGGCAGACATGGCTCTGGCAGTATGGTTGTCCGTTTTCCCACTCTTGCCTATTCTGTAATACTCCTTGGACTTGGGCAGACATGGCTGTAGAAGCATGCTTGTCTGTTTTCCCACTTTTGTCTGTTCTGTGATATTTCCTTGGACTCGGGCAGACATGGCTCTAGCAGCATGCTTGTCTGTTTTCCCACTTTTGTCTGTTCTGTGATATTTCCTTGGACTCGGGCAGACATGGCTCTGGCAGCATGCTTGTCCGTTCCCCATTTCTGCCCTTTAGAATATATGCCGAATAAAACTTTTTTTGCTTTACTAAACTTTGTGATGTGTTTACCCTACAACACCTTGGGAGGGGAGAAGGCCAGGATTAATACACCTATGAGATTTAACCCCCAATCATATCTTCCTTCTAGTTATGAGGAAGACTTAAGGAAAACTCCCCTGAAACAAATTATAGTTGATGGTAGAAAAATAAACAGGGCCCTGATTAAAGAATTTGCTAACTGCTATTCTGTCCATGAAGTGGGAAAGGCTCCCGATGATAACCAGAGAGGTAACACAGCAACATAAAATTCTAAAATAATTTAAGAATACAGAGGAAATGAGTTTCACTAAAATATACACACTGTTAGAAATTACTTCTGTTCTTAGCACTAAAGAAAGAGGATTGCTAAGAGCATCTTAGTGCCCACAACTTATCACAACATCTCCCCTGCAGCTGAACCAAGACGAGAGAAGGAGTGAAGTGGGATTTTCAGTAGCCAAGTACACGAAGGCAGTGTACCTCATTTACTCAGGAATCATGAATATGTGGTTCGGCCTAGAACATTCAGAAGCGCCAGCCATAGCAGACAAAGGTGAAGGCTGCAGGGGGCCAGGGAGCCTTCATTCCACGGAAGATTACAAATGCCCAGAGGTTATAAGAACAAACTCCTACAAGACTCATTTTCCCCCAAAGCAGAATTCTTCCAGTTTTTCTGTTAACTTACTCAGAAGTTTATAACTGAAAAACCACAAGAATCCAAAACCTACAAGTCTCTACACTTTACCAAACAATCCTCTCACACTGCAGGCATAAGGAGAGATACAAGAAGAAATATGTTGATGGGATCATAAAGGAAGAAGGGGGAAAAGTGATGCATCTTAATACATTGTCTCCAAAAGAGAACCACAGTTGAGGCCTTTAACTAAAGCACCTCTAAGGCATACCTGTACAAAACTACCCCTCCAAAAAATTTGCACTAAATCAAGGTACCCTGGCCACTAAAAAAAAAAGAAAAGTTTTATAAGTGAATGTCATTATGTAGAGAGCTGTTTTCACTTGACCTTATGAAACGATTAACTGATAAGGAGAACTTAAAGGAGTGGCAAACACTGGCATGAGTTATGCTACCACAAAGCGGTATCAACATAATGTGATAGATTAGTGTTCACTTTCGAGAATGGTGCTGACGCAGCCTTTTCAACAACCTTCAGGAGCCCCGAGACTCCTACTTCAGGGCCAGCCTTCTGGCAGTCCTGGTGCTGGATGGCCCTGGAGGAGACCCTCAGGGGTGGCCTCCAGCTCTTCTTAGCTTGGGGCTGAAGAAGAGAAGAATGAGGTGACTGTGGGAAGGAATCAAGAGAAGAAAAACCTGTTAAACAGCAAAGCAGTCAGAGGCTAAGAGGTGAATCCATACTTTCTTATCTCTCTGTTTCATCCTGGCGGTTCTCTGCTCCAGTGAGTACCCCAGTTCTCTGGCCGCTGCTGTGAGTTTCTCATCTATGCTCTTCAAAAGACTAGTTTTCTTTTTATCTGTTACTTCTTTAAGTTTTTTCATCAAAAATAATCTGAAAAAGAAGTAAAAGCTCGCATTATATCACAGGCCACCGTAAAAAAGCTTAAATTTCATCACTGCAACAAATGCAGTCAGCTGTTTGCTTTGGGCCATATGACAGGCTTCCCTGTTTATTTGAGAAACGTCTGCCGGATACCCATGTCTGAATAACCAGAGCTTGTCTGTCAGTCGTTCTCTCAGGAAACAGTGGGAAAAAGTTCAGCTCAGAACTCAATCACACAAGTGCTCTTCCCTTTAGACAGGCGTCATGCATGAGACAAAGCCTCTGATGTCATGGAACTCAGATGTCAGTGGAAGAGAAAGACAATAAGCAAATAAACAACTACAGTTGCTAATAAAGATGGCACCAATTTAAATTGAATGATAAATCTACAGGGTTTCAGAGAACGATCTAAATTATAAATACTACACACCATCTTATACGAACCTGAGAGGTAGGAGAGGAGAGTCTTCACGAGCATCTGCAATGCGGTGACATGCAGGAATGTACATAGCACAGTTCAGTGGCTTAGTCTGCACTCTGTTTGCTACAAACACTGTTAAATCACAGGGGATACAAGTCTTTTTAAAGATAGGGTAAAGTCCCTGGCTGGCGCGACTACTAACTGAAAGACTGGCAGTTGGAATCCACCTAGCAGAGTGGTGGAGGAAAGGCCTGGCCAGCTACTTCTGTAAGATTAGAACAACTGAACATCTGCAGAGCACAGTTCTACTCTGAAATACATGGATTCGACTCAATGGCAATGGGCTTTTTTGTTTGTTTGTTTGAAGGTAGGGTATTAAAAGAAGTCATACAAAACATGATCTCCTTATTATAGTTAAACCAATAAAAACTGCTTTCTTCGCTTTACTACAATGTAAACTGCGTAACTGTAACAAACAGCTTCAAATCCTGTCTGGGGCTGATACAGTGTAGCCTGGCTCACCTGACTCCACTCCAACCCCTAACTGTACCCGTGAGAGCCGTGTGAGAGCAGTGAGAGCCGTGTGTGAGCCGTGCATTTCCAACGCTACTTCAGCTCAGCCTCCACAGGGAGCCAGCTTCTCTCACGCAGATGCCTGTCTCGGAAATCTGAGACAGACGAGACACAGGTAGAGGCTGTGCTGCTGCTCCTTCCACCAGTGAGCATGGCTGGAGCGGCACTGATGGTTCTGCAGCAGCCGGAGAGGGAGATCCTAGGATCTGGTCCCTAGTTTCATGGGTGCTGAGAGGTGAGCAGGGCATGCCTGACGGGCACAGGCTGTACCAAACGCAGGGTGGCCCCGTCACCGGCAGCAGTTCTTGGCTCCCCAAGAAACCAGCGGTTCTGCTGCAGAAGCGGTCTTGATGGCCCAGCTTCCCGAGGGCAGCAGGGACATACAGTCCACCGATGAGCTGGAAGCTCGGCCTGCTCTGCTGGCCCTTCCAGTGGGTCGGGTCTACAGGCAGCTGCTTTCCTCTGCTAACTCTTCCTGTTTGAACTATTTACACTGAGTTCTTACACTGAACTCTTAATGACGGTGTTTAAAATCAGATGTCTAAAAGAGGCTTGTCAATCTTCTGATTTTGCCCTGGAACAACTGAGGTCAAGATTAAAATCTTCATGAAATAAAATAATTAGTTATATAAGAGGTATTTTTTTTTTTAGTGGAAAGTACCAGAATAGGAATAAATGGGTAAGACTATCACATCTGCTCTGCAAAGTCATAGAAATGATCTCTAGAATTATAAAATTTGTGGCTTACCTTTATGCCCCTTAATAATGGAATAATGTAGTACAAACATTATAAACATATTTAAAAGTAAATAGAAGAGGGACTGAAATAAAATATTTTCTTACTTGACTGCAGCAAACACATTATCTCCACTTTGAACAATTAGACAATTTTTCTTTGCTTCATTTGTACCAACATACACAGGAAGTTCATCGGGAGAATCCCTGTGAAGCAAAAAGTATTATTAATTTAGTTTACCATAATTTCTATTATCAGGCAGGTAGCATTTTAGGTCTATAGAGGACAATCTATACCTGTATTTTTTTTTTTAATTGGAATATAAAATTTGCCAGATTTAAGCTCTAGGTTTCCTAGAAATATCTACAACAAATCTTATTTATATAACAGAAACTAAAATCAAGATTCTTAGAACCTAGTACTTTTACATCCAAATGCAAAAGAAAAGGGAGGAAGGAAGGCCTGTCAAAGCAGCAGGGGAAATTATACACCAGCATCTCTTTCCCAGTTGTGGAGTCTTTAAAAAAAGGAAAAACATAGAAACAGACAACAAACAGGATGGAGTAACAGAACATTAGATTAAAGGATCCTACTCATCTATGTAACCAAATCCTTTTATTTTATAATGGAGGAAACCAATACAGAGGTTAAGTGACCTCACCAAGGTCCTAGGAAGTTAATTGCAAAGCCAGAAACAGAATCCACGTCACTCACTCCTCGCCCTCACCAGAGCCACTGCTCTGTCGGCCCTTCCAGTGACTGTCTAAGCACTTGCTTTACTCCATCTACGTCTCCCGGGGCACTGTTCCTCTGCTCCTTCGATTCCCTTACAGTCGATCTCCACACTAAATGGCAGCATTTCTACTGATACAAGAGGACAAGGTACTTTCCCTCAAACTACCGCTATTTCTCAACATTTTGAGCATTGTGCACGTATTCATTTAATCCTCACGATATTCCTATCGGGTATGAACAATTACTACTTCCATTTTTATAGGCGCGGAAACTGAGACTAATGACTGGCACGAGGTCACCTACTAGTAAACTGTGGGACCACGCTGTTGACTCTAGAGCCCACTCTTAACTACCAGTTGTCACTCCGGCCTCGGAACACGGGGCTTATTTACGTCACAGCAGCTGCTCTACAATATCTTTTCTGGGCTAAGAGGGCTCTTCGGAACCCACAAGGGAAAAACAAAACCAAAAAAAAAAAAACAGTTTACAGTCATGAAGGAAAAGCCAGCAAGGGAAACCTAAAGAGTTTATCCATCCGGGAGTTTATCCACTTAAAGCGGCAAGACCAAGAGGCGGCCCACGCACAGGCCAACAGGGAGCAAATATGCCCTTCACCTTGGGGAGGCCAGTGGACGTCCATTTTTATGGTTAGAGAGGGCACTAGTGATATTTTAGGGAAGAAGAAGAAAAGATTCTTTACCTGAAATACCCCATGTGGTACTGCGTCCTACCATCTCCTATAATGATGGTCTGGAACTCAGGAGGATCATAGTAAAACCTCCAGTGAAGGTTACAATTCAGGCCTGCTGATTTTTTCTTCATTTTATGTTTTCCAGCAAGGATATCATAAGGGCCGACTAATCGAAGGCCAAGGCTTGCAGAAAGTGAATCTGTAAATAAAACAAGTTCATTTAGACAGTATCTTTCTGGAGGCAGAGAGGAAATAATGTCTTTCATTAGCAAACTATTTCTAATCTATTGTTTTATAAAAGAGTTTCTAAAGTAAAAACAAACAAAAAGAACTTTAGTTACATGTGAAGATGTTAGTCATAAATGCTCAATGGAAAAGAAGCCAGAGAAGCTCTTAGATTTAGGATTGCCTCTTAAATCCGCCACTGACGTAGCTTAATATTTCAAACATTCCTGCTGTTTCTTATTGAGCCCAAGCAAGACCGTCTGTAGCCCTATGGGCATGTCAGAAGTGTACACACTCACCTTGTCTCACTACTATGCTGCTGTTAGCCTTAAATACTTGTAGCACACACATGTTAAGGGAGAGACAGATAGCAAATGAGTATAGATTAAGAAAGGTAAAAAAAATATTTCCTCCCCCTTCCCTGCGTGCTACAAATGGTTTACAGGCTTGGCTGCTAACTGATCTCCTTTCCAAAAATCAGCCACTGAAAACCTGATGGAACACAGTTCTACTCTGACACACGTGGGGTTGTCCTGAGTCGGAATTGACTGGATGGCACCTTGTTTCCGTCTACCTCAGCTAACTACCCCTCCGGACTCCCTTGCCTCCTTGACAATTTATTTGGCCAACCCTAACCCTGGATGATTCCATCTTCTTTCTCCATTCACAGATCACAGAGGGAGAGTGTTAGATAAAACCACACAGTCATGTGGTCTGTTCAAAGGTGTGATTTTCTAATGTCAGATGGGTCTTCCCTGTTTCTCTACGAGGAAAGTAAGCACTCCAAGTCAGACCTGGAGGAAGAAAATTCTCAGACGAGGTAACAATGAGAGTAAAGGCAAGAAGAGAGTGTAATTCCAGGAGGAAAAATAGTTCAACTGAGCTGAGGATAATACACGCTAATTTTTAAAGTAACAAGAAAACGAAAACCACCCATTTCACCAGCCAGAGATAACAGGGGTTCAATAGTTTGGTATACAGAAAAGTATGTCCACACTTTCTTTCTCCTATGTATAGATATCCAAAAACCAAACCCATCAAGTCCATTCCGACTCATAATGACCCTATAGGACAGAGTGGAACTGCCCCATAGGGTTTCCAAGGAGTGGCTGGTGGATTCGAACTGCTGACCTTTTGATTAGCAGCCAAACACTTAACCACTGTGCCACCAGGGCTCCTGAATAGATATAAATACATAAAAATTTTAAGTGAGATCATGTTGTTTTATAATCTGCCTTTTGTCCTTCATCCTGCCCCACTAAAATTTTCTGAATACTTCCCCATGCTATGCTATCAAATTTATTTTAAATAACATGTAATGGCTGCATGATATTTTATCATAAAGAGGTATGCATCCATTCATTCTCCTACTGATGGATATCTATCGTTTCTAATTTCTTTACTATTCTAAACAATGCTTCAGTGAACATCTTTGCAAGTAAATGTCTATACACAGCCATGACTATTTTTAGAGAAGTTGATATACAATATAAGTGTTTAAGTGTTTTGCTATATTGTCAAAATTCAGAGTATGTACTAATATGCATTTCCATCAATAATGTATGCTTCCCCCACTCCACGTTAGATAAAAAATTCAAACAGTACAAAATGACATAGCGTGAAAAGTAACTCTCTTTCCTGTCCCCAGGCACAGCCATTATCAGTTCCTTGTACATTCTTTCAGAGACAGCAGAAGTATATAAAAGGCATGCAGGGTGTGGGTGTGTGTGGGTGTGTGTCCACACTTTTTTCATTTTCAGACATGATATTTTATCATTTATTAAAAATCTGCCTCAATCTCTTAAAACTATGAATATCCACTGCATAGATGCATTACTGATAGGCATTTAAGCTGCTTCCGTTTTTTGCTTCAGTAGGTATCCTGGAACATACTTCCTGGATCGCAGAATTCATAAGACAAATTCCTAGAACTACTAAATTGTACCAAAACTCCTGCTAACGTATGGAAAGTGCTTGTTTTTCCTTAAACCTTCATCAAATCATATAGTAAAATTATTACTTTTGCCAATATAATAGATGACAGGAACATATTATTGTGGCTTTAATTTATATTTCTCTTACTAGAAACACCTTTAAAATTGTTCTTTTTCTGTTAACTGTTTATATCCTTGGCGCAGTTTCCGACTGTCTTTTCCATTTGTACAAGCAGGAGACTGATTCAGGAGCAACTCACCAGCTGGCTTTTCAGGATCAAGTTCTCCACAGAAGTTCCAGAAATGATAGAAATCTTCAGGCAGAGAGAGCTTATAATGATTTTCGACTTCTTTTCGAAGGTCGCTGGAGACATCAGCTTCACAGGACTTACTTTTCTTCACATCAACTGCTTTTTCACACTGAAAATTGGCATACGAAACTTAACTTCTCAAAAGTGACTCCCATCACTTCCCTTGCGTAATGATATTGTTTATTCTTGTTTACCCAACTCTACTAGATATGTTTTCTTGAAAACTCAGTAAGTGGTATTCCCAAGTAAAATCTGGGGATTCTTTTCAACAAAGATAAAGGAAAGAGGAATTTATAACAAATGATGGTCAAGAGGGACCCACATAGTGGGTTTAAATATATTTAAATACATTTCTCTAAGATAATGGAAACATAGAAGAAAAAACCAAAGTAAAAAGGGAAATAGCAGTAAAAGAGGAATGAAGAGAAGGCAGGTTTTCCCTCTTTTGCTAAACAACATGTTATAACATTTTTTAGACAGATTCAACGATCACATCAGAAACAGACTGTCAGAAATAATTGGACAGAAGGAGATTTACCAGTTAAGAAGCTGTTTCTTCACAAAACGAGACTAAATGGACGCATCAGCCCAGGGCAAGGACGAGAAGGCAGGAGGGGACAGGACAGCTGGTAATGGGGAACCCAAGGTCGAGAAGGGGAGAGTGTTGACATGTCGTGGGGTTGGCAACCAATGTCACAAAACAATCTGTGTACTGTTTAATGAGAAACTAATTTGCTCTGTAAACCTTCATTTGAAGTACAATAAAATAAAATATTAATGACCATCAAAAAAAAAAAAGCTGTTTCTTCAACAAAGTCCAACCAGAATTGGACTACAATCGTTACTCAGTCTTCAACTTAAAAACAGGTACCCATCTTTTGACATTCCAAATGAAAAGAGAGGGAAGGTTAGTGACAATCGTAAGCATCAACAGTCCCTAAACAAAGTAAGAGTTTACTAAACTATAGGTCCCTAAACCCCATTATTCTAGAAAAGACCTTTTACTCCAGGACAGGGTTATAAAATTCGTCTCTCTCTAGTACCTCTGCAATGTAGGTAAGTATACTACGTTCTATAATACCTAATCAATATCTGAGACATTTCTGCAAAGATAATCTGCTTAGCTGGAGGCTACTTATCTTTAGTTATTTAAGTAGCAATCTGACTTTCTTTCTCGGAAACCAGAACCTTTCTTTTTGGACTGAGTTCTTCCTCTTCATTCTTCCTTCCCAATTAGCTCAGTGATTCTCAACAGGAGGCCATCTGGGCCCCAGTGCACATTTGGGACTGTCTGGAGATGTTTCTGGCTTATCACAGCTTGGGGCAGGGGGGAACGCTACTAGCCAGAGATGCTGCTAAATATCCTACAATGCACAGGACAACAAACCCTTCTCCCGCCCCAAATGTCAACAGTGCCAAAGCTGAAAAACCCTGACCTAGATGTTTCTTATATCTATACTGTTCCATTTTCCCAGGCGGCTCAAGTTTAGTGATTCAAAGTCTACACAAGGTATTTACGCATCAGAAGACAAAAACCAAGAATTTTCATGACGGCACTGTTTCTAAGAGCAAAAAACTAAAATGAAATACCTATCAATAGGAGAATGGACTCTCAAACAATGTAATACCATACTTAGTGAAAAGCAAATACAGCTTGCGATACACGATAATATGGCTCAATCTTAATAATGCTGAATGAAAAAAGAAAATCCTTGAAGATTACACGTAGCATGATAGCCATCTCATGAAGTTAAAAAAACAACCAAAAATAAATATTGTTCCGGCATACACTCATAGATGACAAAGCTAAAAAAAAAAGAAGGCAAAGGAACAAAACCCACAAAATTCCAGATGGTAGCTACACTGAATGAGGGTGATAGGAAGAAGTTAGGCAGAAAGCATGGGGGTAAGGGAGGGACACACAAACAGATATAAAGCTACTGTCAGGTTTTAGTTTCTGGATTGGCTGATGGGTTCACAGGTGTTTGTTATATGAAATATGGTAAACTAGGACCAGCACTAACCAATGATGACAGTTTATCATGAGCCGAGGATTATGATCAAGCCAACTGTGTGTATCTGAAGTCATCAGGACAAAATTAAACTGCACAAGAAGGCTCTGGGGCTACTGATAACAGCAGCGACAGTGGTTAATGTTCACTGAGCACTTAACACGTGCCAGGCTACCCTTCTAAGCACTTTGTGTAGATCAACTCCTTCAATCCTCACAACTGCAATCTGAGCTAGACACCGCTTCCCCAAGTTTTACCAACAAGGAATCTGAAGTAACGTCCCACCGTTCCTCAAGCGTAACAGGGAATGAAACCCAGGCGGGCGGGCTCTAGAGCGCATGCTTAGCCATTTCACCGGGTGCTTCCACAGCTTCGGATGAACAACAATGGGAACACATGGAATCCTGACCTGCCCTCTCTTCTGTCTCTTCCCCCCATCACCATCTTTTTACTATTAAAAAATAATTTTCTTAGTGGATGCCCTGGGGCTCTTTCCTGTCTTTATAACTGTCTTTAGGTATGCCTTCAAGGACTGGTGTTCGAAACGACAGCCTTATCTGTTGGGCTGAAAGGCAATCCCGCATGATGGTTCGGTCCCCAGCGTCAGACGGCCCGGGCTGACTCCTGGCTCAGTCACCCTGGGCAAATTATACAACCTGTCTGTGCCTTGTTTTCTCTCCTACAAACAGGGCATATGTACTACCTATATCATAGGGGGGTTATGAGGAATAAATGAGCTACTGTATGTAAAAATAAATAAGTACAATAATGACGGTGCCCTCGTGGCACAGTGGTTAAAGAGCTCGGTGGCTAACCAAAAGGGCAGCGGTTCAAACTCACCAGTGGCTCCAGGGGAGAAAGACATGGCAGTCTGCTTCCATAAAGATGTACAGCCTTGGAAACCCTATGGAACAGCTCTACTGTCCTACAGGGACAGTCATTATGAGGTGGAATCACTGGGGGCAGGGGGTTTGGTATGTTAAGACAGACACAACAGTGCCTAGCACACAGTAAGTACATAAATGCTGGCTATTATTGTTAGCTAGTCTTTACAGAATTGCCTTCGATTTTGGTAATGTGTTCCTAATTCTATCATTCTGCCAAAGCAGTTTCTACTGTACCCTCAAAAGCAGATAAGGACTTTTCCAGCTCTCCCCTACCCCACACTAGTTCAAGCATCTCCAAATCCCTAACTGCTAGAATTTAGAAAGCGTCAGCTTCAGAGGCAACACTTATCCTTCACCCTGGTGCTCCTAGAAAGAATGACTCAATACGAAGTGTCCTCAACAGCCCTGACAATTAATTAAGCCCTCTGACAATGTCTCACCCCACTCAGTTTATAGCACTGCCGGAGTAACGTTTCTAAAACTTGACCTAATGACACTGCTTTCCTGTCTGACTCCCTTCACTGCTACTGCAGTGGTTATATAACTTCTGAAAGCTGGCCCCTCCTTTCCGACTCAGTAGCGCCTTTATGATCTGGTTCCAACATACAGTTACAGCTTTATCAGCTCCCTCCTATTTTCCTCTCTCTCAGACTCCAGCCAGGCCAAATTCTCTGCTGTGCCCCAAACATCTCCCACACTCTTCCATTTCGGTACCGCCTATTTCTCTTTCTGCCCCATGCGCCTTCAACTTACCCTTTAAGAAACATTTCAGATAGTGAGTTGCCCCATCTCTTCCTTAACATCCCTTAAACCCGTGGCCGTTGAGGGGATTCCGACTCATAGCGACCCTATAGGGCACAGCAGAGCCGCCCCATAGAATTTCCAAGGCTGTCAACAGAAGCTGACTATCACATCTTTCTGCCACCGAAGCTGGTAAGGCTTAACCGCTGAGCTTTCAGTTGGCAGCCGAGCACTTAACCACTGCGCCACCAGGGCTCCTTATGATGTGTTAACTCCTCCTTCACTGTTCTCACAGCACGTTCTACACGCTAGTGTAATGCCAAGCAAAAACGTGCCAGTAAAATTCAGCACGTGTGTTCCTCCCCCCTAGACTGGGGCTCTACAGGGAGCAGGACAGCCAGCCAGCGCGCAGCAGGGTCTGCATGCACTCTGTCCCCTGCCCAGCTGGCTGGCTGAACGCACGCATGAATGCGTGCCTGCATCTGCTTCTCAGGATCCGGGGGAGAGGTCGGGGAGGAGATGCAAAGGCAATACTTCCCCGGCCCACCCACCAGCAGAGCGGGAAAGAGCGACCCCGGCACGGTCCCCGGGAACACAGCAGACGCTCAAGGGTTACTGAATGAATGAGATGGGCTGTCCCTCGGCGCCCGGGCAAGCACGCAGATCGCCCGCGGAGCCGCACAGCCTTTCCGGCCGTACCTGCTGCCCCTCCCCGCCGGGCCGACGCTTCCCGCCGGGCCGACGCTTCCCGCCGCCGCCGACCATTCTGCAGCCCCCGCGCCAGCGGAACCCCTGCTCCCGCCGCGGCTTCCGACAGCCGCCGATCACTTCCGGGTTCAAGAGCCACCAATCCGCACGCCCAGGCCGCCGCAGGCGCGCGGGTTTACGGCAGAGGCCCCGCCCCCGCCCCGCCCCTGAGCCCGGAGCGGGAGCCCGGTGGGGCTCCGCCCACTCACGGGGCGCGGGGCGGTAGGTGTTCTTTCCACCTGCGCGGTACGCATCCCTGCCCCGGCTAACAAGGCAGCTGAGAGGCCATCCCGAGGCTGCTGCAGAGCGTTCACCCCGAATTGGGTGCCTTAACGTGGTCCAGAGGAGCCCTGGTGGTGCAGCGGTTAGGCGCTCCGCCGTTAACCTAAAGGGGCTCCTGTGAGGAAGGACTGACAGCCTTGGAAACCGTTTGCGGCAGTTTCTGCTCTGTCCTGTGGGGAAGCTATGAGTCTAATCGTCTCCACCGCCGTGGGTTCACGGTGCTCCGACCTTACTCCTCAGGTGTGCCAGACTGGGTATATGGCCGGCGCTGCCCTCACTCCAGCCTGCCTATTTAAAAATAATATTAAGTTTTTGGTGAAAGGTTACAGAGCAAGTTAGGTTCCCGTTTGATAGTTAAATTTATCATCTGCCAATATTCTCTTTCCTTGAACAGGTTCTACATGTACAGTTTAGTGACATTGATTATATTCTTCCAGTCATGCAACCCTTCTCACCCTCCTTTTCTGAGTTTTTTTAATTGGGAAGATAAATCTTTCTTCCCCCTTCCTCCCTCTTTCTCCTTTCCCTACTCTACTATTTTGCTTAACACTAATTCATCCTCAGTTATCTCTTAGAAGTAAGCCACTTGTGCTCCGTCTCCTTGTTACAATCCAGACTGTTTATCCTCTATGCCCCTGGATGCCAAGGGAAGTCCCTGCTCCAGCAGCATTCACATCTGGAGGGAGTTTGTTAAAAATGCAAAATCTCAGGCTCTACCCCAACTTACTGCATTGGAATCTGCGTTTTAACAAGATCCCCCAGTGATTCTTACACACACTGAAGTTAGAAAGGCACTCTTCTTAAATGGTGTCCCACGGGTCTCCTTCACCACTGTCCTGGGAGTGTCCTTTGCCTCATCCCTGAGATTCTCTATGCCTATTCTGGTTCCTGAATCTGTACTTTTTTTTTCTTGATTTTACACTTTCATATTATGGAAAATATTCCCTGATTTTTTGTTTGTTTGTTACTTTTTTTTTTTTTTTAAAGACCTTGCATGTGCCTATAACTTTATTCTTCTACATTGAAAGTTATTTTCACTCAGAATATTAGAACCCTTGCTCCATAGTCTTTTACCTTTCAGTATTCCCACTGAGCCCACGCCATTCTGATTCTTGTTTCTTTTTAGGTGACTAGATTATTTGTATGGAACCAGTTTTGTTTTTGTCAAGAAGTTTTAGGATCTGCTCTTGAATCTTAGTGTTCTGAGACACAATGATATGCCTTGGTTGTAGCTCATTTTTATTGAGCTGGCACTTGGTTGGCTGTTTTCAATCTTGAAACAAATGTTGTTTAGTTCTGGGAAATTTTCTGGTTTTATTTATTTGATAATTTCCTTTGCTCTTTTTCATGTTCTTCAGTTCTGGGAATTTTTCTGGTATTATTTAGTTGATAATCCACACCACCACCCCCATCCTCCACATTCATCTCATCTTTTTCTGAAATGCCTGTTATTCATATGTTAGACCTTCTTGACTGATATTTTTTCTTATCTATTCTAATTTCCATCCCTTTGTCTTTTTGTTCTACTTTCTGGGTGATTTTCTCAACTTTATTAGATAATTTTTCTATCAAATAATTTTCTTTTATTATACTTTAATTTCTAAGCACTCTTTGTTTTCTATTCTTTTTGTAGCGTTGTGTTTTTTTTTCATGGCTGTGTCTTCTCTTAGCTTTGACAATATATACGATAGGATTTTAAAAATGCTTTCTTCATAACTCTGCATCGACTTCGATTATTTGAGTCTTGTTGTTCGTTTGCTGGTTTGTGTTTGATCTCTGTCATTTCTTCTAAAAGCATTCCTAATGGTGCAGTGATCCTTGGCTGTCAATTTATATATAAAAGTGATGCTCTAAAAAATTGGTGCTGTGGGTACATGGGCAGGGCTTGTTATCTTCTGGACTTTTCTTTATGATGATGAGGCAAGGACCCAACTGTTTGTCTACTTCCGTAGAGCAATCCTCAGATTTCTTCCTTTGGGAGTATACTAGCTTCTTTGGAGACCAATGGAAGAAAGAGGTTGGGAGTCTTAATATTTTCAGTATATACACATTTACTTATTCCCTTACAGCATCTTTGCCTTCAGCTGTGCCTAGTGTCCTTGAATCCAAAATCCTCTTGGTTCAATATCTCCAGAAAGAATGATTCTGCAACTTCTGGGTTGGGAATGGGGAATGAGGGAATATTCTCCTGGCCATGCTGGGTGGGGGAGAGAATCTGGGAATCTTACTCTTCTGGAGCTTTTAATGATCTCTTTTCAGCTCACCACACGTTGGAGGTATGGCGCTTCTAATTTCTGAGTTTTGTGCAAGGTCAGTTAGCTTGTTCCCAGGTCACCTGGGTTTCAGTTTTCTCTGGTCTGCTGAATGAGTGCTCACTAGTCCAGCTGTTTACAAGTTTCCAAGTGTTTGTGGGAGGCATTGGTGGTTCACTGGTAGAATTCTCGCTTTCCATGCGGGAGACCCAGGTTTAATTCCTGGCACCTCATACGCAGCTACCACCCATCTATCAGTGGAAACTTGCGTGTTCTGTGATGCTGAACAGATTTCGGTGGAGCTTCCAAACTAAGACCGACTAGGAAGAAAGGCCTGGTGATATAGTTCCAAAATTCGAGCAGTGAAAATCCTATGAAGCATAACAGTCCAATCCACAACCTATCATGAGGATGACGCAGGACCGGGCAGCGTTTCGTTCCATGGTGCATGGGGTTGCCGTGAGTCTGGGGCTGACTCAATGGCAGCTGACAACAAAAACTTTTCTGGGCATTTTTCCATTGTCAATTCTCTGTTCTCTTTCTTCTTGTGAGTATCTGACCTCTCTTCTTTATCCCTTTTATTATTATTTTAGTGAGGTTTCGTAAGGAGGGGAAGGAAATGCACGTTTTTAGTATTCTATCTTAACTCCTTTGTGGCGCAGTGGTTAAGCACTTGGCTGCTACCTGGAAGGTCAGCAGTTGGAACCCACCAGCTGCTCCGCGGGAGAAGGATGTGGCAGTCTGCTTTCATAAGGATGACAGCCTTGGAAACCTAATGGGGAAGTTGTATTCTCTCATATAGGTCATCGTGGGTCTGAATCTCATAGAATTTCAAATCTCATTGACTTGACAGCAGTGGGTTTTTGGTTTTATTTTTTTAGTTGAATGGTGCCAGGTTGGCAATTGAAACTTCATTTACTATCCACTCACAAGTTCACACCTAAAAATTTCTTGCTGAATAATTGTCCAGATCATTTTGTAACCATCTTTAATAGGATGTGAGTGAGATATCTATTTTAGTTTAAACATTTGGAATTTAATATCTTTCTGTTTGTGTATTTATTTCACAATGATTTTGAAGGAGCTGATAGATTTTTCCAGATTTGGTGTGATTCTTCAGGGTATCGTACACCATTTTGAAACAAAGTGATTATTGATAAACGTTTTCTCGTAGACACAGGGATAGCAATTTTTGACAGGATTCAGTGTAATTTAGCGTATTGCTATTGGTATATGGTAATATAATATTTACTGTGCAACAATCACCTGGTGGATCTGGACACCGATGGGGCAGTCCTACTCTGTCCTTAGGGTTGCTATGAGTCGGAACTGACTCAACGGCACCCAACAAGATCAACGATACAACAAGTACTGTTCTTTGTGCTTTATATATAGACTTATTTAATTCTCATAACAATCCTATGAGGTAGTTACTATCTTTATCTCCATTTTACAGATGAAGCAGCTGAAACAGAGAGGTTGAGCTGTCCAAGGTCAAACAGCAAGCAAGTGTAGGAGGTAGGATTCAAACCTGGATCATCAGGCTCAGAGTATTCTCTGCATTGTGTAATACTGTCCCTGTAGTGACCCGTGGCCTTTATAGAGCTATGTAATTGCACTGCATGCTGTCTCTAGTTCATCCTACTTTAATTAACTTAGAAAGTTCGTATCTCAAAGGTACGTCATTTTGACTGCATCCTCTGTCCTGCCCTTTAATCAGGAGGGTAGACAGAACTTTGGTTCTCCTGTTTTCCAAATGGTTAGTAAGAGAAGAACAAGTAATTATTTTCTGCTGTCCTCTAAGTTGTTTGGGGACATCTTTGTCACTATTTTGGGGAGAATAACTCATCTTTTTGGCTTCTAGTGCTGGTTAGTCCTTTTCCCATGATTACTGGAAAATTCTCAAAATTCAGAGGAGGTAGTTTGAAATTTTAAAATGTTTCTCCTCCTCCCAACACTTTGTTTTTCTGTAGCAAGTTGGTCATAAATAAGATTCTCCT